GGGGGGGGGATCTTAATTTTGGTCATCCCTAATCAAGAAATACAGTTGAGATTAAGGTATAGCTTCCAGTTGTGTTAATTAGAGGATATTTACCCACTTGCAGAGCTTGTGCTTCCCAGATAAACACTATACTCTCTTCGGGATAAAGACACTGAGGGGTCATGCAGGAAGGACATTCATCCACTTTTAGCTCTGGACGGTCATGGAGATTGACTTTTACCTGCAGGGGGGGTCAAAGGTTTCCTTTAGTGGAAAGATAACTCTGCATCAGGTTTTTCAGAATGATAGAGAAGCTTGGCTAAAAAGATGTGAGTATGAACACTGGAATTTGAACATGTCTGGATCTGGGGTGTATACAATGTGAATGGCACCAGCATCTGGCTTGCAGCTGCTCTTTGATTACTTTTAAATACCCATCAGATTCAACGCTCATCAGAAGTGTCAGACCCGCATTTCTGAAGGTCTATTAACACTTAAGTTGCACCTTCCCAATCGTCTGCAGCAACAGCAATCTCCCCATGCTATTCTTCCTCCTCCTAGCTCAGCTAGCTCCTATCACAGCCGTTGGAGTACTCTCTTTATTATCTAGTAACCCAGGAGTGGGTGCATGAGTTGCACCTAGACGTCACCGTATACAAGTACGGTGTGGATATTTGTGAACTGATTTAGGCTGCAATAGTAGATCATGCCAATCCAGAGCAATTCCTTTCTACCGCTACGTAGCTTCAGTCTCCAGGTTTAAATAAAGGCCAGTGTCATTCAACCAACTTATTTTTTGAGTCCAGGCTGTCTTTGACCTGCTGGGCCAGTGTCATCAAACAATCTGGGCATAGAGCATTACTGTACTTAACAAAGATCACATGTCATTACAAGAGTGCTGTTTAGTGCAGCAGTAAGGATTGCCCACTGTAGCACAAGAAGGACACCCCTAAGAAAATTGTTGTGTATGTACAGTAAATATACAGGTGAAACTTGAATAATTAGAATATCGTGCAAAGTTCATTTATTTCACTAATGCAACTTAAAAGGTGAAACTAATATATGAGATAGACTCATTACATGCAAAGCAAGATAATTCAAGCCGTGATTTGTCATAATTGTGAGGATTATGGCTTACAGCTCATGAAAACCCCAAGAACCCCAAATCCACAACCTCAAAAAAGTAGATTATTACATGCAATCAATAAAACAAGGATTGTACATAGAACAATATCGGACCTCTGAAAAGTACAAGCATGCATATGTACTCAGTACTTGGTTTGGGCCCCTTTTGCAGCACTTACTGCAATTACTTTTGCACGATATTCTAATTATTCGAGTTTCACCTGTATATATATATATATATAATCATTAATGTTTGCGTGGTTTCATTCTGCGCGTTTTTCCACGCGAAAAAACGCACAGAAAGCGCTCCTGCTATGTGTAAATAGATTCTTAATGTGCCAGTGATCTCCATTCCCCTCATTTCTATTCCATCTTTCACAGGGACAGGAAGTGAAGTGAAGCCTTCCCAGGGTCACGAACAGCAATAAAAACACGACAAAAGTATTTACTCTTCTCAAGTCTAAATAAAGTTTGGCTGGAGTTGGGTTTTATAAGTAGGCACTGGTGACGCCCCTTGTTTTTTGTTATTTTCAGCTGGACTAGAGATTAATTCACTTAGTTTTGAGGCTGATGCTTGGTTGATCATTGTAGCATTACAGTTTTAGGCTCAATTAGCAAAGCTTTAACTCCATATGAGGATCCTTTTCAGTCTCTGACTAATTGTTTAAAATCTCAGTGTACTAAACTGTCACTTTTTTGGCTACTTCAAGACTCGTTATTCTGGTGAGTCAGCTTTGTGAATTGAGCTTTTTAATACATTCAATGCTCTATACCAGACTATTAACATAAGTAAACATTGGAGTGTACTTACCATCATTGGCTTAGATAGGTAATTGAATACAGATGCTTTGATTGAGAATATCTCTTCTCTGACTACTGAATACGGATGAGTTATGAGTATAAAGAATGGCTGGAAGGCCTGCATGGTGGTGGCATTGGCAATACCCAGACCTATATCTCCCATACAGAATGCTGTGGCTTTCCACCCAGTAATGGAATCGGGTACTTGGACTTTTATATCAGCCTGACCGGATGCCCTAATATACAAATGTCAACAAAGAGAAAGCAAACTAACGTTTAATAATGGCAAAAGACATGCTTTGTTATTTCACTAAACAGCCCTCCAAATGCATACACTAGGAAATGCTGGTTGTGGACAAATTTAATTTATTATAGTCAAAATAAAATGTTTAAAAATATCTTCTTTATCTTAGTCAGGTACATTTTGAATATTGCATATTAATGTTGTAACTACTTTTAAACCAGCAGATTTAGGGGCAAAAGGCTCCTTCTCTTATTTTTGCTGTATCTCTTTGCCCTTTGTTGAAAAAAGCCCAACATCAATAGCTCAAAGTAAAATTTACACACAAGTGATTAAATCAGAAGAATGGTTCTCAAAGCAGACATTGTCTGCTTTTCTGTTTCTCTGAA